GTTCTGTCCCGTCATTCACTATCGGCATTAACCCATGCGATGCCAGCTAGGCCTGCCCCCCCCACCATGTTGCCCAATCGCGCCATGCGCTCGCGTCCTTTTTTCAACGATCAGAATCGGCAAGAATCCCCTGCGTCGGATTGGGCGACGCGCGCGCGCGCGTCGTCTTGCGCGCACGTCGAGATCCGGCGACAACTTTGGGCGCCACGCGCATTTCGAGACCAGGTGCCCCGAAATCATGGAGGACACAAGCAAGTCCATGATTTTGCAGCGCGCATTGCAGGAAAGTCTGCGCGCACCAGGTCTTCATGAAAACCGTCGCTTTCCGGCGGTATCTTCAAATTCGATCACGCGGGCGTCTCGCGCGAGCGCGTCGAAATCATCCGAGCGCCCTTGCGCGCTTGGGGGGGGGGGGGGGGGGGGGCGCTCCCTATCGAATGGCGCCGTGCGGTCGCTCGCGCCCGTCGGCCCCGCGCGCATGTCGAAATTGCCATCGCAACTTTCATCGCCGACGCGTGGGCAACCATCTTCGTCGTCGGCGCGATCAGCATCGGCACCGTCATTGGCCTTGACGTCGTCATCGTCATCTTCGTCACCAGCGCCGCTGCAGTCATCATCGCGCCCGCCGCTGTAGACGTCGCCGCGGCGCCCCGCCCGCGCGAGTCGCCCGCTCGCACTGGAACGCTCGCGTTTCAGCGCGGCCTGCGAGACGCGTTGGGAAGGGCCACGCGCCGCTGCGGCCGCGTCGGTCGCGCAGGGCGAGCTGGCCAATCGGCGCACGAGCCCGCGCGCTTGTGCGGCCGTGGCGATGCGCCAGCCATGCAGCGTCAAGCAGTCTCCGCAACGGCCGCCGCGTGGGTTTTGCAAACCATATTGCGGGTCGGTGGGCGGGGCGATTGCGCGAGCTTTGGAGTCGTTCACCTTGAGATCGGCGGGGTGATTTGCGCCGAGTAGATTTGTTTCAGTGGATGGGGTTCGGATCCACGGCGCCCTCGAGGCCGTGCGCAAGTAGCGCATGATTCCGCGCGATCTCTCATTCTGGGCATGGGTTCGTGCGACCGCAGCCAGGCCCAAATCTCCCCGGCCGCGGACGCCCGTTAATCACGAGTAATCAAGCGACCTGCCTCCCAAGCAAAGAAGGACCATGGGAACGCGCGCGCGTCCTTGCGCTCTCATGTTGGAATAGTTCAAAGCCGCAGGTTTCGCAAGTATGAGATCCAATGCCCCGTCGCGAAAGCATATAACGAAATGGTTGCGCAGACGGATGTTCCAAACAGGCTTCCGCGCTTAGAGCGAATCTGTTGTCCAACTGGACGTTTCAAGTAGACCCGTTCGCGCGCTCTGGCATATTCTGCAGACAACCACGCGTTTGTTGTACATCCCCATCAACTGCGACCAAACGAGCCTCTCGCGCGCGCACGTCGAAATCATTCGAGCGTTCTTGCGCGCGTGCTCGGGGTGGTCGGGGTGGCGCGACCCTCGTCGAGGCATGCCGCGTGGGCCAGTCGCGCGCGTCTGCCGCGCGCGCGTGCCGAATCCCCTTCCACATTTTCATCGCAGACACTCGGGTACCATCATCGCCAGCCTGGACGTGCCCGGCGGCCAGCGCCGTCGCGGCAGCGTCGGTCGCGCCAGGCCTAGCTGGCCGATTTGCTCGCGAGCCTGCGCGCGCTAACGCGGCCGCGGCGATGGATGTTCCGGGCAACGCCTTGCCGGCAATGCCCGCTGCGTGGGTTACCCCTGACACCCTTGGTGGCCCCAAAGGCTTCCACCAAACGCCCCAGCGGCGCAGCCCGCATGCGCCCTCGCTGCGGCGTGCCCTTCGCGCGTTTCGTGGCCCCGTACGGGGCCTCACAAACGGCTTCAGAGCCCGCGTGCGTCCGCGCCACCCATTGCGGCACACCGCCCACACGTCTCGTGGCCGACGGCGATGTTCACAACTGCGGCACCCGCGGCCGCATATAGTTGGATTTATCGCCCGGCTAAACAAGTGCGCGCGGTGCCCATGCGAAAACCGCATTTGGAAAAAAACTGCATTTCCATTTTGCCAGCAGCATTGAAGCGCAATGCGATAGAACGAATCCTCGCGGCGTGAAGAATAGGGCCCATGTCGAAAACTATTTTGGCTCATTTTTGTGAGTTTGGCAAGTTTGGAGAAATAATTCGTGTGGTCGGCGCTACAGGAGAGCGCCCTTTTTTTCACGACTCACGTTCCATCCTTCCATCGGCTGATCGTTTTAAGAATACTGTGCGCGGCGTCACTGCGAGAGCCCATTGTTTAAAAAAAAACCTCCGTCAATCCGTGTAGATGGTGCGGGCTTCAAATGTTATGGCCAACAGTGGTGAGGCAGTTTCAATCGAACGCCAGACGTGCCCGGCCGACTCGCCGGCGAACGCGACAAAGAGGAAATACCTCTAAAGAAAATGATTGGCATCGTCCGCGCGTACACACACACACATATATATATATATATATATATATATATATATATATATATATGTATATATAAGCGGCGCGCGGGGGTGGTTTTCGAAGATGGCGGGGCCAATCGTCTTGGTGTCTTTTCTTTGTTATCCATGTCACGGGCTCCTGGAACCCGTCGGCCGCACCCACGTGAAATTTGTTTTCGGCGCTGGTCGCACTGTGTCCTTGGAAGCGCCCGGGGCCCAAACTTGAAACAAAACGGCCGCCGCGATATCTGTCAGACGGCTTGAGGTCTGGGTCCCCGCAGGTCCTCGCAGGGCCCCTGCGGAGGTCCTTGAGGCTTGTGGAGGTTTGTGGGGGCCTGCAGAAACTTCTACAGACCTCGGTCCTGGATCCCCAGCTTCGATCTTCGCTCCACCTGCTGGCGGCGCGCAGCAGCCTTCTTTTCAGAAGGCAAGGTTCCTATTTGTGCTCAGAGGCTCCCAGCCATTTCAAGAAACTCCGTGCTTGACATCTCTCGGACCTGTGCATTTTCCTCGGCGAGGATCATCGAGGAACATATGAGAGCATCGAGCAAAAAACGACAGAAAAACAGAAAAACTACAAATGCACGGGGAACGCACGTCTATGAAGGCCACCCCCTCAGCCAAACCGCGTCGTGTGGCGCCAGAGAAGCTCTGGGCAGGCCCCCTGGTCTGGATTGCGCGTCTGGCCTCCCAGAAACCCCGCGTGTTTTGGCAGGGCTACGGATGGAGGCCCGCAAGGACCAGAGCCGTCCAACTGCCTCAGCCCTCGGTTGTCGATCCCCCTCGACCTCAGCTCCCGCCTTTCTGTTTTTGTTTGCATTCAAGCTGGATCTCTGAACCCCTTCCGGAGTTATGTGTCCCACGGAACCCGCAAACCGCAAAACATGTTCCGTCGCGACTTCACGACGCGAGGAGGCGTGCGCGGGCCGCGCCAGGTGCCCTTGCGGAGCCGCGCTCACGTGCGCGCGCGGTCCTGCGGACTCGCGGCTTCGAGGCGGAGACGGTGGCTACGGCAACGACGGCGACGGCGGCGGCGAAGACGGTAACGCAAGCGGCGGCGACGGCGCCACCAGCTTGGCCCACATCCCTGTCCCCAGGGGATTGACACCACCTCACCTCGATGCCGACCTTCAGGATCCAGTCGGTTTCTGAGGGCGTACCCTTACAGTGGAGGTCCATGCCAAGAAACCCTGCTCGCCGCCAGGGTGCCCTGGGTTTTTCTTGGGTTTCCATGGCTTTGCCATGGAAAGCGTGACGTTCCCACATCCTGGGGTCTCAGGGTCGGGTTTATCGTGGAAGGTTGCGTGTGGTCGGGCCTCCACTGTAAGAGTGTCGTCACCTCTGGGCCTGTCCGTCTCAGGGGCAGGGATAAGCTCAAGGCTGGCCACGGCGGCGGGAGTCCTCGCGGGGCCGCGCTTACGCGCGCGCAGTCCTGCGGTCTCCCGCGGTCTCGCGGCGGCAAAGGTGAAGAGGCGGGTCGATCAGTAAGAGGTCGGCTGAGGAAAACCTGCATGATTCTTAGGCTTACGCCACACCGCCGACCCCTTGTTTATGCCAATCTGGGGGTAGTAGAAGCTGCGAAGGGGTGAAAAGCGAGTTTTGGAGCCACTTGGGGGCCGTTTCGGAGCCTCTGGGGTGCTTCTTGGGGGTTCCTTGGGGCGTCTGGGCGGCCTCGTGAGGGCCTCTGGGGGCCTCTTGGGGCACTCTTGGGGCCCCCTGGGGCTCCTGGGGGCAGAAAGCTAGAGTTTCAACATGTTTGGTCGCCCTCTTGGGCCCCTCTTGGTGCCGTCTTGGAGCCCTCTTGGGCCGTCTTGGGGACCTCTTGGGCCGTGTTGGGGCCGTCTTGGGCCGTCTGGAGGCCGTCTTGGGGGCCTCTTGGGCCATCTTGGGGCTTTCTTTGGGGCCTCTTTGGCCGTCTTGGAGCGTCGGGAAGCCGAAAAGGCGGAAAAGCAAAAAACATCGGAAAACACTATGGAAAATCAACAATTTTAGACTCTTGGGGTCCTCTTGGGAGGCTTGTTTGGGACCTCGGGGGCCGTCTTGGAGACCTCTTGGCCCGTCTTGGGGCCATCTTGGGCGTCTTGGAGCGGTCGTTTGGCGTCTCGGGGCCTTCGTGGGCCGTCTTGGAGGCCTCTTGGGGGCTTCTTGGCCCGTCTTGAGGCCCTCTTGGGCCCGGAAAAGCCCCGTGAACCGCTCGTCCCGGACCCCCCCCCCCCCTCCAAATCGACCGGACCGGGCTCCCGGGGGAGGGGTTTGGGGAGGGGGAAGCATCTCACACGCCGATGATCCCCAAGGGGTCGGCGGATTTGGTATTCTTAGGAATTCCTGGGGACGCTGACAGGTTAGACAGTGGTGAGAGCACGACCATGTGCACCGTCGTGTATTGTGCCAGGGATCGTGGCCGTCGGAACCACCACGCGGCGAGCATGGAGGCGAGAGATCGAATCCTGAGTAAATTGTGCCATTATTAGGGCTCTTCAGCGAAACGCTATGAGATTTTCGAAGAACGCGCGCGACGACGGGCGGGGCCCGCGCGCGCACGCGCGGAGGACTGAGCTGCTTGGAGCGCGCCGGCCGCAGACGGCGGACAGCTCCTGCGCGGCCGGCGGCGGCGCCAGGACGCTACCGCGTGGCTTCCTCTCGGGGGTGGGCTCGCAGCCGACGGCGGCGGCGGCGGCCCTCGGCGGCGACGGCGGAGGCGGCTCTGGGGCTCGAGGAGCCGACAACGGCATAACCATAGTTTTGTCAGAGTTCCGCGAGGATTTCTTGGATCGGCGCTGGGGCCCCTGGCGCGCTCCGCGCGCCCCAGAGGGAGGGGGGTCCAGCGCCGATCCAGGAATTCTACGCATACCTGCAGAGAGCTTGTGGTGCTCCTGTACAGGCGGGGATGTCTGTTGACGAATTGATCTTCGCAGTCTTCGCAGTCAGTGGATATGGATATGTTCGGGCCCACCAGGACCCATCATATATGATCAGTGTTTCGGTGATCCTCTCCTTCGAGCTTCAGGCCTGTATGGCCTGGGGTGCCGCGCGTCTCCCATCTTTCGCGCGCGAGATTGCGGCGGCTTCGCTCGGAAGGTGGCTATCGCGAGCCCCCGTTCCCGAGCAGCCCCTGTGCGTGTGCGAGCCACGACTTGTTTGCCCAGCTTGCTCGCTGTTTTGTGCGCCGTACCCCGAGCGCAGGGCGGAGTGCCCAGCGGTGGTGTGCAGCTGCGCGCCTGTTGGGACGCCGACGCCCGAGCGCCCGCCGGCCTCATCGGCGTCCTGTGGCGAAGGCTTGTCGTTCTCGGTGGCGTTTAGCGGCTGGGGGCTGCTGCCGCTCGCGTTCCTCGTGGGCCGTCTGTGCGCCGGCCGCGGGCGGCCGCAGCGCCGCAGCGTGGCGCAGCTCGCGGCGCTGGGGGCCGGGCCGCCGCGGGTCGCCGCCCCCCGCCCGCGGTGGCGCTATCGGGGCCGTCGTGCGCAACGGTTGCCTCCTCGGGGTCGGCTGTCTTCGATTCGCCGGGTGCTGGCGAGTCGGCAGCCTGGATGTCGAGGCGCCGCTGATATAGACGTGTTGGACGTTAGACGGGAGCTACGGTGAGAGCGGCCGACATCCACGATATGACGGTGGCCATCAATTTCGACGACGACCCCAACTTCCGGCGGCGTGGTCGGACCTTCGAGCGTCGCCTGGGCGACCTCCGCTGGATCGCCCTGTCGCTGGACCCCGAGGTGGTTGTGGTCGACCTCTCGCGGCGCATCGTGGCGCCGGTCGCGCGAGGCGCGCCGTCCCCTGCCAGGGTCGCGGGCAATGTCCATACGGGAGCGACCAGTTCGACGAGGTGGCGCAGGCGGCGGCCCGCCAGGAGGCCGCGGCCCTGGCGGACGTGCTCCGCCTTGCGGGAGCGGCTGGCCCCGCGGGCCAGCCTGCTGGTCCTGCCCTCGTCACGGAGTGGCGCTTCGCGGACCTAGCGTGCGAGCAGTTCGGGGAGGTCGCGCTGGCGGAGGTCACTCGGAATGCGCTCCGCATGGTGCTCCGAAAAAGAGCGGGCTTGGCCGAGGTGGGCGACGACGGCGAACGGCATTGGAATTCTCGCGGCGGCGGCCTGCCCAGGACCTCGAGGATTGGCGGGCGGAGAAGAGCAGCGGCCGCGGCCGAGACGCTCACATCCTGCCGATCCAGAAGAACATGGGCCGGGCCCGCTTCGCCAGGCGGCCAGTCGGCCAGTCGGGGAGTCTGCCAGTCGGGGAGTCGGCCAGTCGGCCAGTCGGCCAGTCGGCCAGTCTGCCAGTCGGCCAGTCGGCCAGTCGGCGAGTCTGCCAGTCGGCCAGTCGGAGAGCCGGGGAGTCGGCCAGTCGGCCAGTCGGGGAGTAGGCCAGTCGGCCGGTCGGCCAGTCGGGGAGTCGGCCAGTCGGCCAGTCGGCCAGTCGGGGAGTCGGAAAGTCGGCCAGTCGGCCAGTCGGGGAGTCTGCCAGTCGGGGAGTACTCGGCCAGTCGGCCAGTCGGGGAGTCGACCAGTCGGCGAGTCGGCCAGTCGGCCAGTCGGCGAGTCTGCCAGTCGGCCAGTCGGGGAGTCGGCCAGTCGGGGAGTTGGCCAGTCGGCCAATCGGGGAGTCGGAGAGCGGGGAGAGTCGGCCAGTCGGCGAGTCTGCTAGTCGGCCAGTCGGGGAGTCGGCCTGTCGGGGAGTCGGCCAGTCGGCCGGTCGGCCAGTCGGCCAGTCGGCCAGTCGGCCAGTCGGGGAGTCGGCCAGTCGGCCAGTCGGCGAGTCGGGGAGTTGGCCAGTCGGCCAGTCGGCCCGTCGGCCAGTCGGGGAGTCGGCCAGTCGGGGAGTCGGCCAGTCGGGGAGTCGGGGAGTCGACCAGTCGGCCAGTCGGGGAGTCGGGGAATGGGCGAGTCGGCCAGTCGGGGGGTCGGCCGGCCAGTCGGCCAGTCGGCCATTCTGCCAATCGGCCAGTCGGTCAGTCGGGGAGTCGGGGGGTCGGGGAGCCAGGGAGTCGGGGAGTCGGCCAGTCGGTCAGTCGGGGAGTTGGCCAGTCTGCCAGTCCGGGAGTCGGCAAGTCGGGGAGTCGGCCAGCTGGCCAATCGGGCAGTCAGCCGGCCAGCCAGCCAGTCGGCCAGTCGGCCAGTCGGGGAGTCGGCCAGTCGGCCAGTCGGGGAGTCGGCCAGTCGGCCGGTCGGCCGGTCGGGGAGTCGGGGAGTCGGCCAGTCGGGGAGTCGGCCAATCGGCCAGTCGGGGAGTCGGCCAGTCGGGAAATCGGCCAACTGGGCAGTCGGCCAGTCAGTCAGTCGGGGAGTCTGCCAGTCGGCCAGCCGGGGATTCGGAAAGTCGGCCAGTCGGGGAGTCGGCCAGTCGGTGAGGGGGCTTCCTGGAGGCCGTCTTGGAGGCTTCGTGCGCCGTCTTGGACCATCTTGGTCGGTCTTGGTGGGCTCCTGGCCCGTGTGACGCCGTCGGAAACCGTCTTTGGGACCTCTCTCGGCCGGCTTCAGGTCCTCTCGGGGTGCTCCAGGGCCGTCTTGGAGGCTTCCTTTGGCGTCTTAAGGCGTTCCTGGCCCGTCTGACGGCGTCGGGAGCTCTCTTGGGGACCTCTTTGGGCGTATTGGGGCCTTCTTGGGGCGCTGCAGGGCCGTCAGTGGGAGGCCTCTTGAGCCGTCTTTGGGCCCTCTTGGGGCCGTCTTGGGGGCTACTTGGGTAGTCTTAAGGCCATCTTGTCGGCCAGTCTGTGGACGTCCGAAATTGGTACGGAAAGAATTGGTACAATGCCCAACCGCAGTTCTTGTCCATTTTGAACAGGACTCGCTGTCCGCGCCGCCGCGGCCTGTGTCCATTCGAAACAGAAGGCCGCCTGCCCAACAATGGCTGTTGTTGGTTTGTGACAACATTTGTTGTTGGGCATTGTGCCCATTCTTTCCGTACCCATTTCGGGCGTCAAAACAGTCGGCCAGTCGGCCAATCGGAGAATCGGGGACCGGGGGGTCGGGGAGCCGGCCAGTCGGTCAGTCGGGGAGTTGGCCAGTCGGCCAGTCGGGGAGTCGGCCAGTCGGCCAGTCGGGGAATCGGCCAGTCGGGGAGTCGGCCAGTCGGCCAGTCGGAGGTTCTTGGAGTCGGGGAGTCGGGGGGTCGACCAATCGAGGAATGGGGAGTCGGGGAGCTGGGGGGTCGGGGAGTTGGGGGGTCGGGGAGTCGGCCAGTCGGCTAGTCGGCCAGTCGGGGGGTCGGCGAGCCCTGGAAGCCCTGAGACAGAGAGAGAGAGAGAGAAACAAAAAAAAAGAAAACTCCCGAGACAACTTTCAAGGCAGCCATGGAAAGTTCGGGTACAGCCTCCCAGGGGCCTCCTATCCGCCACGATCTGCAGTCTCAGCCGGGAGATCGTGGTGTCTTGGGGCCTTCCTGGGGGCCCCGGGGGGGAGGGCGGGATGTGAACCTTGTCTCTGGGGCCGTGCGTGGAGCTGTGTGGGCCACGTGGGCCACGATCCGTGTGAGAGGTGTGCCGAACCGGACTGGGCGACGCTATGAATCTTTCCTCTTGTGCCACACATGCCACACATGCATGTACTGGCGGGGCACGATCCGCCTGATCGGCGTGCCATTCTGCGAAACTTGTCTCTGGTGACGTAGGTGGAGCTCCCTGTGGGGCGGGATCCCTGCGAGGGGTGTACCGACTTGGGCGGGGGGACGCTAAGCCAATCATGTCTTTGGGGCCGCACGTGAAGCTCACTGAGGGACACGATCCGTGTGACAATAGGTGTGTAATATATTTGTGTATAGATCCTCCAACGCCGAACATTTTAGACAGCAGTTAGAGCATGCTCGAACCTCAGCGCGCGCGAAGCTTACGCATGGTTTAAGTGCGTGTGTATGTAAATCTTTGTACACATGTATCCGCATCCACCGCCCCCTGGGTCCCAGAACTTCTGTTCCCTAGGTCCCAGGTGGTGGATCTGAATCGATTCCCACCTCGCAGCGGCGACGGCGACGGAATCGGCCGCGTGGTCTTTTCGATGCTTGTTTCCGGTCGGGCTGTCTACGGCCTTTTGCCTTTTTGCCCGTCCCGAGGGGCGTTGCCGCCTCGGCGCTTGCCGCACTCTCGTGCCCCCCCTTCTACCGTTGCCAAACATGCGGTTGGGCTGTCCTCTCTCACCCAACCCTGTCCAGTGCAGGACCGCCTCTCTCGCGGGTGCACCCGTGCTGCCGCCTTTGTCTTTCTCTTGGATAAGCCACAGGCGCTCCAGTGCGTGAGGCGTCAGCCTTGGCTTCCTCGTACGCCTCCTCCTCCTCCTCCTCATTCCCCCAGCCCTTCAAGCAGTGGCGGAGCGTCCTGGCTTGCCCAAAGGCCCACCAATGCAAGGTATGACAGCCTGTTCATTATGATCTGCACGACACGCTCTTGGAACCTCTTCCTCTTGAGACCGTACTGTTGGAATCAATCGGCTCTACGTTCTAAACTCGTCACGTTTGTTATTCTAGCGTTTCGTGGCAGTTCTGCAGGAATGCCAGGACGGTCGGACCCTGTTCGAGCCCTCCCTATCCCCCTCGTCTTCCCGTTCGCCTTGCCCCTGGCCCCCTCGCGTTGCAGATGCCGTCCTTGTGCCAACATCTCGTCCGACCTTGCGTCGCGATGGGTAGGGGTGCGGGGAGGGGTTAGCGTGCCCGGGTGGACAAACCTCCTACCCTGACATGTCGATTATAGCGAATTGGCCGTTTTCGGTTCGCGAGAGGGCGTCGCGGCCGTCATTTTGCGGGTCCAGGTCCGTTGGTTTCGGTCCCAGGCCGTTTTCACTAAAGGGAGGTTTACAAAAGGGAGGTTTGCCCACCGCCGAGGTAGGGGTGTGGGGAGGGGTAGGATGCCCGACGTGATGAGAGTGCGCCCATCTTGACTTGCCCCCCTCCCCCCGGAGCACTCCTCCCGGCGCCCCCGCCGAGGAGAGGAGACGGCGAGTTCCGCGGCACCGTGGACGCGCGTCCGCCGCCCGCCGCCCGGGTGCAGGGGGGCGCTTGGCCAGGGCTGGGCGAGGGGGCACAGCCAAGACGCTGAATTCAAGCAGAGTTCCAGGGCGACAGTCTTGCCTCGCAGAGAAGGGGGTCGGGAGCCCCAGGGCGCGGGTTGAAAGATCACCTCGCCGAATACTTCGGTTGCCTCGCTTGGGTTGCTGTCACTCCCTCTGGGCTTGTTTCCGCGGTTTCCTGGCCTTCGCGCGACTTTCATCGCCGCGGCCAGGCGCGATTTCTGGACACGGGCCAGGACAGATTCTGAGAGGGGTGCTGGGGAAAGTCTGAGCGTACCTGTTCGCAGAGGGGGCTCATGCCTCCAACGTCGTGTTTTTTCATGCCAGCGCGTTTCATTGGTTTCGGTCTCCGTGGCCCGCCTGCGGGCCCCGGAGCATCAGTCCAAGAGATGGCGACGGAAGCTCTTCAAGAGTCTCAGGGGCAGGGGCGGCCTAACCGACCCCTAGCAAACCATCCCCTTCCGTGACGTCCCCCTCTCCTCGCGCCAAGATGTAGGTATGCGGCCGGAGGGGAGCCTGAAAGGCGAGGGTGACGTCACGGAAGGGGATGGTTTGCTAGGGGTCGGTTAGGCCGCGCCCGATTGGTTCTGACGTCGCGACTGCTCCTGTGTGGGCCCCGAAGACCTGGGGCCGCACACGGAGCCGCCACGACGTCGGAGGCCTGGGGATGGTGGTGCCCGGCGGGCTGCGTGGCGCACCGGGCGGAAGGCGCCCCCGCCTTCTTGGAGGTGGCCGGGAGCGAGGCCGGGGCTCCCGAGGCTCCAGACCTCTAGAAAGGTCAAGGTTCCTTTTCAGAATTATAGAGAATATCAACGAGTGCAGGCGCTATTTAAAGATATCTGAAAGAGTGCGTTCTGTGGTCGCTTGGAGGGGTGGGGGTGGAACCGGACCCCCCCCCCATCCCCTATTTCTCCCTTCTTCCTCTCCTCGGGCCGGCGGCGCCGGCGTCGGCGGCGGCTGGCGTCGGCGGGGTTGCTGGTGGTGGTGGTTGTGGCGGCGGTGGTGGTGGTGAGGTGGTTTGTGGTGATTGTGGTGGTGGTGGCGGGTTGTGCTGCTGGTAGTCGTGGTGGTGGTTGTGGCGGTGGTGGTGGTGGTGTGGTAGATGGTGGTGGTAGTGGTGGTGGGTTGTTGTATTGGTGGTGGTGGTGGTGAGCTATTGTGGTGGTGGTGGTGGCTGTGGTGGTGGTGGTGGTTGTGTGGTGGTTCGGTGGTGGTTCGGTGGTGGTGGTGGTGGTGGAATGAGGTGGTGATGGTGGTGGTCGTGGTGGTCGTGGTGGTCGTGGTCGTGACGGTGGTGGTGGTGGTGGTCGTGGCGTGGTTGTTCGTGGTGGTGGCGGTGGTGGTGTACTGTGCTATTGGTGGTGGTGCTGCTGCTGCTGGTAGTGGTGCTGGTGGTGGTGGTGGGTGGTGGGTGGTGAGTGGTGGGTGGCGGTGGTGGTGGTGGTTGTGGTGGTGGTTTGGTGGTTTATGGTGGTGGTGTTGGTGGTGGGTTGTGGTGATGGTGGTGGTTGTGGCGGAGGTGGTGATGGTAGTGGTAATGATGTGGTGGCTTGTGGTGGTGGTGGTTGTGGTGGCTTGTGGTGGCTTGTGGTGGTGCTGGTGGTGGTGGTGGCGTTTTTGCTGGTGGTGGTGGTGGCGTTTTTGGTGGTGGTGGTGGTGGTGGTGGTGGTGGTGGTGGTGAGGTGGTTTGTGTTGATGGTGGCGGTTGTTGTGATGGTGGGTTATGGTGGTTGTGGTGACTGTGGTGGTTGTGGTGGTGGTTGTGGTGGTGGTTGTGGTGATGGTGGGTTGTGGTGGTTGTGGTGGTGGTTGTGGTGGTGGTGGTGGTATGGTGGTCTGTGGTGGCGGTGGTGGGTCGCGGGGGCGTCTGAAGAGCATGCGAGGGCTCGATATGGCGATTTGCGTGTTCCCTCTGCGGCCTCTAAGCTCTCTCTTTTCATCGTCGCTGCGTCCCCGCCGTCGGCGTTGCTAGCCGCCGCCAGCGCCAGCGCCGGCGCCAGCGCGGGCGGGGGGGTTTGAACCCCCCCCCTCCTGGGCCTTCTCTGGTCATCGTCGCTACGTTGGCGCTGCGGCGGCCGCCAGCGCCCGCGCCGGCACCCGGGGGGTGGGGGGGTTGGGACCCCCCCCCCTTGGGAGGAGGGGGGGGGTTCGGGAGGGGGGGCGTTAGGGGGAGGGGAGTCCCCCCTGGTTCTGATCGACGACGCCGAGTTTTTGGGGGGGAGGGCCCCACCCCCTGGTTCGAAACGCGCCGCCTATTTATCCCAAGGCAAGCGCCCGTGAAACGCGCTCTCTCAAATATCTTTTAGAATGTGGCTGTATACCATTGTTTGGCCTTCAAAATTGTCCAGATTTCTTTCTACACGGTCAGGTTAGCTTTATATCGTCAATTTTCAGGTAGCCTGCACAAGCTATAGCGTAACTACGGTCACCGCTTTTTTGCATAGGCGGTCGTGTAGCATGCTGGGTGGTCTCCATGCGTGAGACCGAGGGTAGTTTAGAACCCATGGGTCATTTTTCGAGCAAATAGCGCGAAGCGCACAGGTGATGCATTTCGAACGGAGGGCAAAGAAGAATCGAAGTACGAAACAAGAAGCACGTTTCGTCGATGCTTTGTCTTTGTGTTCCTGTCGGTGCCCCGACATCAGGGGGACATTTGGATTCAGTCGTGTGGAATGTTCCTCCTCATCCGCCTCCTCTTTTTCCAAGTGCTACCTTTCTTGCCATTCTCCTCCTCCCCCTCCGCTTCTGGTCGCCACGTGTTGCCTGAAAGACGACTCAAGGTTTGCCGCAGATCTCCCGTGAAATGTGTTTTCTTTCCTCTTCTCATCAACCTGCTGTCCGTTTTTGTCCGTATTATTGATTTCCTGTTTCTCTCCAGTTCCAGCCTTTGACTCATGCGCCTCTAGACGGGGACACTATCGATGACCTCCAACACCTATCTTACAGCCAGCGTGTATCGACATAGTGTCAAGCATATCGGACTCACCATCTCTTTCTCCACCCATCCACAGCCATTTTGGCTAAAGCGAGCATGGAGAGTCCTCGTCGGAAGCGCGTTGTTGGGGTAGGCCTCAGGGATGAAAAAATGACTGCTTTGCGGAACGACCACGTCTCTCTTGGACAATGCTCGCCAATGAACTCTTCAAGCTGAAAAAGATTGGGCCAGATGGCCTGAGTAGAGAGTGGCGCGGCATCCAACAAAAACACCATCAGCTCATCTTCGAGATGCTAGATCGCAGCAGAGGCAGGACTCGAAGGAAAGAGGTGTTGACACATCAAGTGGACATTGGCCTTTCGGGACGTCGACCGCGCCGTGAGCGACTTCCGATGCATGGCCCAATCATTGCCAGCTCCGCGGCGCAAGGGTTGCTCTGCACCGCGTGCCTGCCCGACGCTGCAGATTCATACCGGCAAGCTCCAGCTTGACGAAGACAACGCCGACGAGGCACCGCCACCAGCTCCGCCGAGTACGCCTACTGCAGCATTTGGACCACCGAACCTTTCTACCGAAAACTCGTTGAGTGAGGGCAGTGACGGCGAATTGACGTCGATATGCTGTTCACTACGCCGTCTGCAAGACCTGCCACCATGAAGAATTCAGAAACATCGCCGCAGTCGGAATCGTCACCGTTATCGGGCTTCAAGATCAAACTTTCATCGCGGCCGCCGTCGTGGGAGAGGGCGCCCCCAAGTTCGATGCCGGCTATGATTTCGGCTTCCAAGGGATTTGATCCTTCGGCATCGCCTGCTCTCTTGGACGCGAGCTCCGTAACGCGCTCAAGGACATGTTGGGCCCAGCCCTACCCAGTACATGGGGCCAAACAAGCAGATCGTTCAGACACAGCCATCGAAACGCAAGTCAGACGATGTCGACCAATCCAGCCTCACGTCCGGCGAAGATAGCAAAGGTGCTGCTCAAGAGGCTTACTGCCTCAAAGGCCATCGGTAGAATGCCGAAGCACACATGCGGGCTGTCCTGATGGCCCTGGCAACGTAGAACGACCACATCAAGCCTCACTCGAAGGTGAAAAACTGGGTACCCCACGCCAAGCTCTGGACCAGAGTGCTTTCCAAAGCGCGGCGTTTGGCCGTCGACTTGTGCGTAGCTCAACACTTGAGCCTCGATGAAGCGAAGTCCCAGGGCAAGAAGTTTGTAGCGATCCAAGTGGGTCGCTGGCTCGCCGCGATTGGCCATGCTTAGACGAGATTGCGATTGCACGGCAGCTGCTTTCAGTGCTGTGATTGACATATGGAGTTGATGCCTCCTCCTCCTCCTGAAATTATTCCTCCCCCTCCTCGTGGAGCCTTTTACTTCTCGTGCTCCTCTTTCTTCTCCTCCTTTCGGTCGCGCATCCCTGAGGTGCCGTGCTCGTTGGGCGCTGATGCTTTGTTCGAGGCTGCGAGTGGTCCAGAAGCTCTCGGGGAGGTCGTTGAAGGGGCGTTCGGAGACGTTTACCGCGGAATGTTGGCCCCGGAGCCTTAGGAAACCCGAACCACATTTATTCCTCACCATCCACGGCGCTATCTGGTGGACTAAGGACATGGTGGAATATCAGGGTGCTGTGGGGTTGCGCGGAGGAATGTATATAGCGACGCAATGCCGCAAGGACACTTGCAGCGATATCTCTGCTCACGCGGAGGTCTCTCACTTACATCCTACATCCCTGCGCCTCTACACTCCTGAAGTCCAGCCACCTACTCCAATTGGGCAATTCTTCGAAGATATAATTCATGGAACCATGCTATATAACATACTGCCGCCTCCAATCCCACGCTTACTTCCGACTGCCCAGTGGAATTCCCAACCGAGCACATCCGACTACGACGTACGAGGCCATTGGATTTGCATTACTATTTGGGCTCACGCGGGTCGCTATTGGGTGTGCGGTAGGACATTTGCGCGGCGGAGACGACGCACGAACGACCGGCCCTCGTTGGGACCCAGCCGGTC